TTGGACTGGACTCGGTCACTTGACAAATGAAATGACCAACTATCAAGTACCTTTCTCTTAGCACCATCTTTTTTCTACAATGAATAACAAAATTATTTTAAGTCAGTCTCCTAAGCAGTGTGAAAATATATATATGTATTTCATCCTTACCCAAGGACATTTTTTATTGTTTTTATGGAGTGGGGGAGAGAGAAAGAAACATCAGTTGGTTGCCGTTTCATATGCACCCCAACTGGGGATCGAACCTGCAACCTTTCAGTTTACAGGACAGCACTCCAATCAACTGAGCCACAGCAGCCAAGAAAGTAAAGTATGTATTTCATGCCATAACTGATGTTACTAATGAGGAGTACACATAGCTATTTCAGTGCCAATAATACACGGACAAAAGAAGAAAAAGTGCTGAGTATAAAAAATTCAGGACTTGCAGAGACTAGAATCTGGATCAAGTCTTGGATAGATGGATGCATGGATGGGCAGACAGACAAACAGACAGATATTCACCATAAGGAACTGACTCCGGTGGTTACGGAGGTTGACCTTTCCCAAGATCTGCAGCCCAGGAACCAGAAGCCTGGGAGAACCAGCAGTGTAAATGCTAATCCACGTTAAATGGCCTGAGAACCAGAAAAGCTGCTGGGATAGTTGTATTCTGAGCACAACTGGTTCGGGGCCCAGGAAGAGCTGACGTTCCAGGTCAAGTCCAAAGGCAGGTAAGAGATGGTGTCCCAGCTGGAAGACAGTGAGGCGGAAGGAAGCCCCTCTCACCAGGCCCTCTACAAGGGCCAGGCTTTTTGTTCTATTCTGGCCTTCAATGGGGGAGACGAGACCCCCCACACACACACTAGAAAGGGCAATCTGCTGATTCGAATCTTAATCTCACCCCAAAACACCCCAACAAACAGACACAGCATAGTGTTTGACCGAGCATCTGGGCACTTGGTGTGCAGTCCGCTCTAGTGGACACATAAATGAGCGATCACACCGCACAGGGGCTCTCCATGGACCCTCTCCCCTGACCCCAGGCTCAGTGACCTGATGCTTCGGAAAAGCTGATCTCAATTTACAAAGCACCTCAAAGTAAGGAGCCTCTGAAAGCACAGTTCTAGAAGAAGCACTCCTAATCAATTAAATCGAAATCTCCAAAAAGAGAGCTGGACATACGTATTAAAAAAATTTTTTTTGCAGGTAAATCTAATGGATTCTGCTAATTCAGCACAACTGCGTTGCAGGATTATTTACCCATGAGCCCCAGCTTTGGAAGAAGGGCATCATTATAGCAGGTGCTGATTCTAGCATTTATATAGCTCTGGAGAAACTGGCCCCATCTCTGCAAGCTAGTGCTACCGAGCTGGTGCTGTTACTGGTCTTCAATAGTCCTTTTCCTTCTGTCCCGTCAGTGGCTCAGGACACTGGGGACGCGAGTCATCAGTGAGTTCCATGAACAAGGCTGGTTGCCACGTTTCTCTTGCTCAGAAGTGAGGGCCCGACAGAAGCGGCGCTACGGGGCACGCCACCATAATGGTGAATGAAGCGCTCTACCCGGCGGCCGTGGGAGGGAAGGAAGGGAGGGCAAACCCGTGTTGAGAGCGAGTGTCTTTCCCAGCATGCTGCTCTTCCGTGATGGGGGCCGTCGTCGTAGTCCCCCTGCCCCCAGGTAGCTGGCTGGTCACCTGGGGGAATGGCGCCACATGGGGGCTCAGTGCCTGTTTCTGTGGCTGGCCGATTGGGAAAGGGTGGCTCAGTTGATGGAATGAATGACGGCCAGTGCAGCTGGAGGTTCGTGCGCGCAGGGAGAGGGGCACTCAGAGTGGGGGGGGGGGGGGGCGGCGGCGGGGAGAGGCGCTGAGAGGCGGGAATAGGACCCCAGGGCCTCCCTGCAGCCTTCGCGGTAGGTAGGTGGATGGTTTGCGGGTCCAGGTGAAGGGGTCTGGGGAAGGGATCGCTGAAAGGTGACTACACCCCACCCCTCTCTTGTGAAGAGGAGGAGGAGGAGGAGGAAGAGAGACACCAGGTATCTTCAAGAAGAGTCTCTTGACAGTGCAGAACAGCTCCCATAGGACATAACCTTTTTCAAAGTGAAGGTGTCCGTGCAGAATTTTAGCTACATGTTGCTCAGAAGTCTGACCTCCTTATCTGTCCCAAATAGGAAAGTTGCTTTAAGGTGTCGTTAAGATGAGGCTGCAGTGTTGGCTATCAGTAGTACACGATGGGGCCCCAGGAAACCTGCGTCCCTGAAGCACGTAATGTAAACATTCATAACACAACATTGTCCATCGTAAACCACTGGAAACATGGTTGTTATCACAAAAATAAGGTTTCTTAATTGAATCCTTAAAAGGATTCCAGGTAAAAGCACACATTTTTCAAAGAAAATTCAAAAGTTACATCTCACTTTTCAGCTTGATGTCAACTTTTATTTTTTTAAGATTTTATTTATTCACTTTTTAAAGAGGGAAGGAGGGAGAAAGAGAGAGAGAGAGAGAGAGAGAGAGAGAGACATCAATGTGCGGTTGCTGGGGGTCATGGCCTGCAACCCAGGCATGGGAGTCGAACCTGCGACACGTTGGTTCGCAGCCCACGCTCAATCCACTGAGCTACTCTAGCCAGGGCCTTGACGTCAATTTTTAAATATTAGCAATATTCTTTCCCACATATGAGAAAGGATATGCCTTTCATTCTGGAAAGCATCAGAGTCACTTCTTGTTAAAGCAAGGTATAAGAATTATTCATCATCCTCACTTACATGAACACATGGTTTTCTAGATCATCCGATTTCACTAAAATGATCATTTCAGCGCACTTGGAACTCATAATCTAATCCCTAATCAATACCGGCAGACTGGCAAAGGGAAAACAACACAACTATGAAATTCGGCACGGGAATATCATTTTGAACGTAATGATCTCTACTACTCATTATCTGGGTTGTGTTTTAAACACATATTAGGTTTTAAAAATTAAATTCTTATATTTACTCTTCTCTAAGTATCAGGGACTTAAGAATTATCCCCCTCTAAGGCACATCAGACTTTCGAATACGTGTTAGAGAATCTTGGTCTACGGAGCACATCTGTTCCCAGCCCTAAAAATCACTCATCTTTCCCTCAGCAGTTCCTAGCCAGGCATGTTTTTGCTTGTAACAATTTCAGCATTCCTAAAAGAATTATACTGTATTCAAAATTTTTTGTACAGTTGTTGAAGACCCATAGTAAAAGTAGAGGCCATTTTCAGATTTTTTGAGAAATGAAGTAAAAAGAACTCAAACGAAGTCTGATGAAGGATGTTGACACAATGGTTGGTTGTAAGTCAACTGCACAGGAACTTTGAATACTTTACACTTTTAATTACTCTAAAATGGTATTTCTAATGCACTATAAATATCTCATTCTGTTATCATCCATTATAAAACAATTAAAGTATATACAAATAATCGTATGTGACTAAAATATTTTCATTTTATTCAGTTTTTAAACGGTTTTTAATTTTATAATATTTTATAAAACAATTTAAATATATGTGCATAACACAGTTCTTTAAATAAGGTCCTAAGAATATCACAAATTCCATTCTGGGAAGTGGAAAGGATGATTTAAAATGATACCCTCATAAATAATTCAAACAATGTTTTTCTTTCCTTCGGTTTAAATTAACTGTCGATCATCTCCAATAAAACCATTTTTCATTCATCATCACTTTCATTCATTGCTCAAATTCATAGCTCATCTAACTAAACACACACTCGCAAGTTTAAATAGTTGAACAAAACTTCCACAGAACTACAGAACTACTGAGTCTATGTATTAATATATATTTCTGTTTGGGCATCAATATATATTCTGTAAAATACTACATTGGTTGTTTTTTTCTCATCTGTGAAGCTTTGTTAAGCAATTCAATATACACATATTCCCACCTGATGTCCAAAATAGCATCTTTGGAGAAAAAAAATTAAACACTTTAAAATATACATATCACTTTGTAAGTCAACTCAAAAACATGATTTTTTTTTCAAAAACAGTTGCTATGTAAATGTTAAATTACTTGTATAAAAAGCACCAGTTAGGAGACTAACATTATCAAGTCTGCACTGCCTACTAGTGGCAACACACAGTAAGTGTATATTTCTTTTTAAATTAAAGCCCAGTTTTTTTAATTAAATTTCTCCAAAACTAGCTTTTTCAATACAATTTAGAGCCCACTATAATACCAGGCAAACACACATATGAGTGCACTAGGAGAATATCATGATTGTTGTGTATAAGCTCTTTTTCCTGTAGAAAACTATTTTTTAGACAGCTGTGGGCTTACTTGTGCTTTGCGTGTGTGTATGTGTGTGTATGTATCTACATAAACAGGTACATGAACATGCATCCACAGATGCCGATCCATTCAAGAGCATTCAGCTTGCCATGTTTTTTGCTCAGTATTTTTCTTTTCTTGGCTCATTGTTCTATCCCACAGTTACCTAGCACAATGCCTTAGTGTAGAGAATATGTACTATCAATATTGTTGAATAATGAATATTGACAATTATTGGAATGCCAAGGATTTGTGACAGCGTTTTATTGCTGAAAATGCAAAGGAAAAATATAAAGGCAAGTGGCTGATCTTGAATAACGATAATGCCAAAATGAAAAGAACCTAAAATACTCTGGAGATGTATTGATATTTTCAGACTGCTTTATAAAAGACCGAGGTTAAACTATTTAATAGAGACGTTGCGATATAGTGACACCTTCAGCAGTCCCCTCGCGTGGGCCTGACATGAGTGGCTGACTGTGTCCTGTGGTTGACCATGTAAAGTATGTGTTACTCAGAATTAGATTTCTTACAGCCTGAGCTGGGCGGACTCCCTAGCGACACGTGAGTTCCAGCGTTCCTCTTGCAGAGAAATTCCACTTTCAACTCCCTCCCCTCTCACCTGTGGAGCCTCCTGCCCCCTGGGCCAGAGGGAACCCTCCGTCTCATCTCCTGCTTTAGGTCCTGAGTGCCCTTACCTCCTTCCTATTTTTCAGCGTCAACTCCTTCAGCTCTTCGTACTTCCCTTTCCACAAAGACACAGCTGACTCCAGGCGTTCTATTTCTTTTTCCAGAGACGAACGCAGTCTAAACAAGGAATTAAAGGCAATACAGGCTTACAATTTAAAAATGGTTTTAGGAGTGCATTCAAAGTTAGATGTGCTCTTCATTTTCGGTGTTTATACATGATCATTGTAGTGACAGAAAACCTTTCTTAGTTTATTAAAAATTATAAATATTGAATTCAACTTGGTTTAATTTGTTATTCTGTCAATTAGCTGTACAGTCGGTTAAACATATTTCATTTAGCTTTGCCAGTATTGAAATAATTGACTTTCTGCCTGCTTTCTCCTGTATTTTAATTTATTGGAGTTACAGGAGTAGAACAGGAAAGTGTTTTTTTCTCAAGAATTAAAAAAATTTTAAAAAGGGAAATACATATAGAAACCATTAGCAATTTTTATTAAAAGCTATTGATTACATTTCTCTATTGAAGCCTACATGAATAAATTACCTTATTAAAATAATCTTGAGACATTTTATTTATAAACAGAATAGAAAAAAAATGGACTTGAAAATTGGAGGAAAGCCTAGATTTTTAAATTTGCAAGTTCAAAATCATACATGTCAAAGAATCAATGCCAGATTTTAACATTACACTTTAATAAATCAAATTATAACATTAGCTAGGAGCCCATGTCAGTATCGAAATGATTCATTATTACTGTAGAATAAATGCCAATCCTCAAGAAGGGCATCAAAGTTACTGGGGTAGCTATTCCTTCTAGAATGTTATCAGTTAAAAAAAAACATTTGAAACTATATATTTATTACACTTTTAATCTTAGTTACATACACATATAGACACATTCTAAAAATACAACTATATCTAGATTATATCTAGACTTAGCATACCTATCCAGTTAGTTCATAAAATAAAAATAATTTAATATTGTCAAAGTATATAAAATGAATAACCATTCTCATTCCTTATTTAAGGAACACTAGTAATACTTAAATATAATATATTTATTCCTGTGTATATATATCTTGAGTAAAATAACTGATCATTGTTAGTTGATTGAAAGAAAATTTTATATTTTTATGTTAAAAGGTAAAATTCCAACAGAGAAGTGAGAGGACAGGTAACCCATAAAAATTAATGACAATGTAATACCTGAGTATTTTTAGAATGACCTCATCAAAATAATTTTGTGACTCTATTCATGCGAGCAAGCCTGAAGGATGCTATACACGCATCCACACAGCAGAGGGCACTCTTTAAACCCTTAATTCTCTGGCCTAATCAATTTATTCTGTATTTTGGAAAGATTTTCATAATTGATTATTTAGACAGTTAAATTTAAACTATCATCATACTATTTAAACTACAAGAAGGCAAAGAAAAAAATAATGTTACCCTACAATATAGCATATTTTATGCAGAAATTCCTTTAAAAAACTGAATTATGATAACACTTAGTAAAAATATAGTATTTTAATATGATATAAATTTTAAAAAGCAAAAAATGGCAATTATATTGCTAAAATATATATTTTCAGAATATGAAAGATACAGGGTGAGCCAAAATTTTTGTGGAAAGCATGATAATATTCCTATGCAAACTTTTGAACCTTTGTAAACTATCACAATCCCATAATAATTGAGTATAAAATCCAGACACTGAGACAAGAAGATTAAATAAAATATTTCTCAGGAACAAAAATTCCAGAAAATCCCCAGAAATAAATATTAATCATTTATAAATGGTATGAGTATTCATGGTAAAATATCTAATCAGTGTTTCCATAAAGTCCTGGTAAATATGTTTTTACAAGACAAAAATAATGAACTCATACTGTCATTGAGATATCCACTTTTCTATCAGTCCAAAATTTAAACTATTAAACAACGAATAATAAAAATTTGCGTAAGTATACTTGTACTTTCAACGATCACCATATTTGCCAGTGTCTGATTGCCTTCCCAATAGTTATAGTTGAATCTCTCAGCTTCTTTCATTTTCACACCTTTCAGCAAATCGCCAAAGCCATGTACCATCATATAATTAGAAAAGAGGTATTTAAAGAACGTCGTTAAACTCGGAGACACGGGGGAGGACCGCAGACCTGGGCTGGGAGGTGACACATTCAGGAACACAGCTCCCTCTCGTGCCCGACTAGTCCTGTGAAGACCCCACCGCTGGGCACCTTTCCTGCCTGTCACAGGTCGTCTCTCCTGGTACCAATTAAGTGGCTGAGGAGCAAATACATTCATATTCACTCATTTAAGCAGAAAAAGGATATTAATAACTCAAAGACTCTCTGGGAGAGTCAGAGAAGGAATTCGGGACCCAGGAAGCCAGAGATAACACGAAGCCACTGAGATCTCCCCACTGGCACCCGCTGGGGCCCCCACGAGGGGACAGGTAGCACCGCAGGACATTGGGGCCAACAACTGGAGGCACAGGATGTGTCAGTGCAGACCACAGGCTACTAACTGCTTCCTCAGGAGATAAGACCCTCACCAGGACGGATTCTGGGCGCTCACTTCCTTGGAGCATTAGCTTTTACCCCTCAGACAAGGTGGCTACCCTCTAATACCCGCCCCCAGGTCCAGTGTCTGCACCCTCATTGGAAGGGAGAGGAGGTAGAAACTTACTAGCGTTTTTTTTGGTCCATGTAGAACAATGGACTCTGTCTCATTAGGTGGACAACTGCCTACACATGACACAGTTACTGGGGAGTAAAAAACGGCAAAAGGACACAGACATCAACTCAAATAAATGAAAGACTTGGACAAAAGGCCTGAAGCTATAAAATTGCTGGTAGAAAACATCGGAGGAAGAGCTCCTGGAATTGGTCACGGCCATGATTCTCCTAACCCAACACCACAAGCACAGGCTTTGGCAAAGTCTCAGATGCTGGATAAAGACACAGAAACCTGAACAGCATTGTGAGTATAAATAATGTGACAAAGTTTAGCATGTTCAATGAGGCGTCCCTCGTCCTGTCAACCGGTGGAAATGACTCCCGGTCCTCTCGGCTGATTCCCGTGTCCCCGTCACGAGAATTTTCCCACCAGCTGGGAACACGGGAAAAACCATGTTCACATCTTCTCAATGGCAGCCTCCCACTTGCTGAGATTCCGGGAGGAGGAATTTAACAGATTAGACAGATTTATAGCAACAGGATATGCTATATCCTTGGGAAATATTCTCGTGATGGGAAGAGGAGGTTTGGCAGTCGCCTCCTGTGGAGGACATGCTCGTGATGCTTCCCAGACCCGGCACCCCCGGGGTGGCCCCTGGAAGGGGACAGTGAGAAGACAAAGCGGAACCCGGGGCCTCCTTGTCCCCTTTTCTTTGCCCTGTCTAGGGCTGGCATATTGGACTCACGGAGAACTGGAGAGTTTACTTCTATGGAGGTTGCTAATTTATTCCGAGGAAGTCCAATACACACGTGTGTACACAGGAGTGTGAGTGAGAGAGTAAAGATACACATGTGTATCATTAAAACTGTACCTTAGGGAGTTTATGACTTGGAAATGCAGTTTTGTGGGGCTCCGGTTTCATCACGGCAGTGAAGTAATGTGCGTGGGTTTGAGAGAAGCCTGGGGCCACTGAAGGGCCAGATCCTTCAAGAAATCACACTCAGAGTTTGGAGCTTGCCTGAGACCTACAGCTCCAGATAAAGTTGTTAATACAGGCCTGAAATTTACTTCCACTTTATTCCCTTTGCTACTAATATTGATTGCCTCTATTACAAATTTATAGTTGATGGTAGACTAATAAGCATTTATTCTATATAAAGATGCTTGAATTATCACAATCGATTCATATAGCGATGTAGAAACCAAGAATCTAAGAAAGAAGTTAGTGGTATGAATAAATATTGAAGGAGTAATAAGAAACTTCTAGTTGACAGAAAAGGAATGGCGAATAAAATACAGTATTTGTGAAAGATTTGTATGTATACTTACCACTATTTCAATCTAAGCTGAAACCATTATATAATATATAACTGCATTTTTATATATCTATATACATATAGATATTAATTACTCTATTACTCCCAGGTATTTTTTCATTCTGCTTATTAAGAAAGAGTCCTATGGCTAAAGAGATGGAAAAAACATGTTTTCAAATGTGAAGACCACATTTTAACATGCATCAAATATCCCATAGACATTCCCTCGGGAACAAAAGCAGCACGTAGAGTGGTTCAGATTAGCTGTCAGTTTCCCAGACGTTATCTGTGTTGGATGTGCATGAGAATTCTGTGAGGACGACAGTGGCAGATTCTGTGTCTCAAAGATGACGGCCACAGTGGCCCCATCCCACATGATCCTAGTATAACCTGACTCTGACCCTTCTGCCATTGAGGGTGCCCCTTGTCCTTGAACTCGGCAGCCTTTGAGACTGCACCAGTAAGTATGACAGAAAGTGATGCCGAGTGACTTTTGAGGCAGGGTCATGAAAGCACCACATAGCTCTCTCTGTCTGTAGGGTGTTCACCGAGCCCTGCGCCGTGAGGGAGCCAGGAATCCGTGCGGACAGGACAGGTCCCCCAACCCCGCCAGGTGTCAGCGCCGGGGTGGTCCGAGATGAGAACTACGATCGGCCACCACATTGCAGGGAGGGAGGTTTCGGCAGACTTCAGCCCCCAGCCCCCGAGCCGTCCCGTCTGATGTCACACTTAGGGAAACCACGCTCGAGATTCACGAGCAGACACAAGGTCATGGTTGTTTCCATACCCACTGTTGGGGACGTTCTGGTACCAAACAGGAGGAAACCGGAACATAAGCATCACCCTCCACACAGTTTCACAGAGGACAGAGCCGCATACTGTTGGCTAACCGAGGATGAAACAGCTAGAATATACGGCAGCCGAGATGAATGAATACCCAGGGCATTGAGTCCCTACCGCACTGCCCTTTTCCCTACGCTGAAACGGTCAACGAGTGAGGCATCTTTTCCTGTGGTCAATGCCGCACAAAACTGTGATTTGTCTGTTGCTGATTATTAGTATATTTTCATTTGATTGACTCGGTGTAGAGATACACACTGCTTGTTTCAACCACATACGTGAATAATTCAAATATAAATGAGGTGAATCTACCAGAGATGATGAGAACCAGGCTATAATAAAAAAATATAAAGTAATAAGTTATAAATTACTCTTCAACTATTTTTAAGTGAATATAATACGTCAAACTCATTTTAAACTACTAGAATACAGTAACGAGTCATGCATAAAAGACTTTGTCAAATGGCCAGTTTGCTAGACTCAAGGATCGTAAGAAGTTCAAAAATCAGACTTGGTTAAGGGAGACAATGACTGTACTAACCCTTCGCCATACTCACTCTCTTTCTTTCCTTAAGATTTTTTGGAACTCCTCCCAATGCACCCGCAAAGCTGCCATTTCAGGCACCCCACTCTGCAAGGGCAGGTGCTTCAGTCCGGGTCCCGGGACCCCGTTTTCCGAGCCAGTGTTCCTGAACGAGTCGGGGCAGCCCAGACAGAGTTTCACGTCCTTGGCCGGTCTTAGCGGGTCCAGAACCAAACCTTCTTCCTGGAAGGAAAACACACACAGCAATCATTACTGCCGCATGTTTCAGTTTCTCAGCAGAAAGATCAGGAAGAATATTTCCGTAGTTTTGGAAAGAAATAAATGGTACAACGCAGGATCAAATTCATATTTTCACTTTGTTTTCATTTTCTAATAGTGTTCATGACCACGCCGTAACTTTCATTCTTCAAGTGTTCCTTCCCCCTGCTATTTTCTGCCTTATTATAATCAAATACATTTCTCAAAACGTCTGCTTTAACTTTTGGGTTAGGGTTTCTTTTTCTAATCACAGCTAAAAATAACCCTGCAAAAAACTCGAACAGCTGTAGAGAGTTATTTAATGAGTTTATGAATTTCTCGTTAAGGTTTATTTTGTCACAAGGCACTTGAGAGTTTCCAAGTGAAGCCAGCTGACCATCTTTAAACATCTTTGCAGAACAGAGTAGAAAGAATTTTCAAGGAACTCGGAATGTTTTAATAGGTTTGTTTATGAAACCATTTTTTTTTAGATCACTAGTTAAATCCCAAACAGAGTTTAATGGGACGTTTTAATATACATGGGCATCAGTGACCAGAACAGCAATGCTGCCTCAGACTCTTACATCACAATTCCAAACCTTCACCAGCTCGTGCTGTGGGTATTTGTCTGTAATTTAACTTTGCTCTGATTTGTGGGTTTAAAATGAGATACAGCCAAGTTCACATAAAATCTCAATTAATATCCAAGTTTCAATAGAAATCTTTTTTTTTCTTTTAAATGGTTTCATTTATAAATTTTTATGGAGTGTGCATAGATACATATGCACACACATACAAAGACTTATAGAATGTATTATATACTTTGGAATTATACAAGCAGAAAGGCACACAGGAGAAAATTTTGAAATGTCAGTAAAAATAAGTATTGTTAATATAATATAATTTTTTCATATATATACATACGTGTCATCCCTGGTATGTGTTTGTTAAATATGTTATTAACATATTTTATATAGTTTCTCCTCATCTAATGCAAATCTCATAATTACAATTACTCACTAACAGTCTAAACTTCCTGACCTTTTTATTTTGTTGCTGCTGTTACATACACACATTTAAGTATTTGCAACTCTCCTGCCTCTTTGAAAAACAGGCTCTCCTTACAAGCCCCCTTCCCCTCTAGTTACTAGCGTAACTTGCTTCAAATAAAATCTTAATGATATTTCATTTTTAGTATTTACTTTAAAAATAGCATATGAATTTTAGGCTGCTAGTATGACATCATTCTCTCAAAAATTAATGGGTATTATGTATATTGTTTTGAAAAAACAATAAGATGTGTTATTTTCCTTGAAAAAAACTATGATAGGACAACCCATGACTATCATACATGAGTATATTTAGAGTTGGCAGAAAAACTGATCAAAATAAAAACAACCAATCAAAACTTCAACAGCCAATACTTACTTCACTACCATCACAAGGAATTTAACTATCTTTTCCCTAAATAAATGAACTTTTAATACATACCCACTATGTGTGATGTTTTTGACGCTAACGATACAAAAATATTCCAAATAAAGTCCCAAGATATAGAGAATTTCTCAGCAAAATATGTGTGAAAGAATCTTTCACATTCTCAAATGTGGTGTCTATTAGCTGTAGTAATAAATAATTTGTACGTTCAGAGCAACGTATGTGGGCTATATTTCCTGATCTCGATCCCGACATTCAAATACGTGCACTGATACAGTGACATTTGGAGAATACATAACATTTTCCCAAAGATGTACACAACAACACAGCTAAGATTAACAGCTTAGCCTGGTCATTTTTTTTAAAAAGTAAAACAAACCTGGAGGAATTAATAAGCTTAAGTAATTAAAATGTTGCAATCCTTTCAAATTTTTTACTTACAATGAAATTTATGTTCTTTCATATGTTCTTATATACATCAGGGAAATGCTTAAAAATTTAGATGGAATCACGGAAGAGCAGTTTCATGTTTTTAGAGATGAAATTACATAGGAAGAGATAATAATATAAACTGATAATGATGAAAGAGATAACACGAATTCTTCATTTCCTAAGGTATGGCCCATGGGTTGTTAATAGTAATTACCAGGGGGAAGAGTGGTCCATAAATGAACTGCTAGATTAAATATAGGTTTTTAAGATGTTTATTTCGTGCAGAATGTTTAGGCCCTTCAAGAGTATAAATAAACCAAGAAATCCCAAGAGTGAGTAGTGAGAAGAATCCCCTACAGGTATTTGTCTGTGGGACCCATTTTACAGGGATTGCTTGTGAGTCCAGAGTTCCAAACCTTGGGGGAAGCCCAAACTACTATACGGATAATTTATATTATTGACGTGGCAAGGATACGTGGAGAGAAGTCTCTCCACATATTTTTTTTCACATTAAAAAAGTGCTGGATACATTTTTGCTACAGAAAAACTTGTAAGATCACTAAGATGGGCTGGTGTCCCTCAAAATGGATATGCTGAAGTCCTAATCCCTACTACCTCCAAATGGCACTGTACCTGGGGACTAGGTCTTTTACAAGGTGATGAAGTTCAAGTGCGGGGGGGGAGGGGCGCCCTACGGATGGTCCTCTTACAGGAAGAGAAATCTTGCACACAGGCCTGTGCGGGGAAAAGACTGCAGAGATGCAGGGAGGAGACCGCCACCTATCAGCCAAAAAGAGAGGCCTCACAAAAACCCAGCCCTGCTGACACCTTGATCTCAGACTTCTGGCCTCTAGAACTTTCTGTGGCTGCAGCCACCCGGTCTGCGGGACCTAGGTATTTCTGGCCAGCACACCCAGTGTCCCCTATGGAAGGCATTCTGACAGGCCCATGGTCGCCGGACTCCTCTGTGTTTTTCCCTTACCAAACTACCGGAGTTGTCCTTTCTAGGAAATTCTCCCGTCACCAGACACTCTCTGCTGGGCTCGCACGTTCTCAGGCCAACTCGAAATTGGTCCCTTTGCGCGCAGGACACTGCCAGGAAGCTAGGACGCTTCTGGTCCTGGGGGACGCGCGCCTCCGAGGCCTCCGGGGAGCTCTGCCTCTTCTTCAGGGCGCTCAGTTCTTTCACGGCCATCTCCAGCTTCACCCGCAGCTGCCGGCCCTCCTCCCGGGCGCTGTTGCGCTCGGCGCGCACCTTGCTCCACTTCTCCCTCCAGTTGGCGGTGCAGTCGGACCACCACCGCATGGTCTTCTCCATCTGAGCCGCCCTGGCCTTGGCCTCTTCCAGTTCCCGCAGGCGCAGCTCCTCGCAGACGTCCCACTCGTCCGCGTGGCGGGAGCGAGCCCAGACGCGGGGAGCGGCCTGGGGCTGGAGCCCGCTGGGCGGCCAGCAGGCATCGCAGGGGCCCCCGGGGGCCGAGGCGGGTGCCACCGAGTCCCGAGGTGTCTTCGCGGAGGACGGCTGCATCCGGAAGATTTGTGTTTCCTCGATCAGCCGATGAATGGAATCTAAATTCATATTTATCTTCTCAGGCCTAAGAAAAGACAAAAAAAACAATTAACTTTGAATTTCCCTTGCAGTTACTAAAGCAAGACTTAACATTTACCGAATTGGAAGAAAACACTGCATCTTTTCAATATTGAGTATTTTCTTTTCCAGCATAACAAAAAATAGAGAGGAATTTATGCATTTGTATTTGTCCTCAAAGAAACAGAAATTGCTCATACCGAATCCTGCCAAACAAATCCAAATAAAAATATGAAGATGCCATGGTGGACAGCATGTGGCATGAATCATTCATTTAAATAAATCTAATTCTATTCCTGTAACATTTATGGTAACACGTATTGTCCATTTACTCGTAGATGGCCCCTTTGTCCCCTGCTAAGAACTAAAAGTACAATTTGTTCAGGTGAAAAGCACCATCTATTGATCTCTGGGAGGATAAGCCTGGATCCTGGGTGCAGAGGCTGAAACGTGATTGGTCTAAATGCCCCACGATGACATCATTGCATTGACCACTCACTGGTCTCAAGGAGCCAGACCACCGGACCAGATCAGAAGTGTGGGGAAGCCTCCTGGGACAATTTGCTGTCTACAAAACCTGACTCTGGAAGAGGGGAGTGGAACAGCCACGCTGTGACTTTCAAAAACTGGAACAGAAAGATGAACAGTTAGTTTATCCGCTGAGCTCTGCGTGGAACCGAGAGCGCCCCCCTCCGGTTTCCTTGCTCAGTGAGAAAGTTGAACTACATTTATGTCAGCTCTCATCCCAGAGTTCTCTGTTGCCTGCAGTCACGAGGACATCTAATACATGAATTAACTCCCGCTGTGGTGAGTATAATATATTAAGTTCTAAAAGTAAAATATTTTGAATAACGCGTTGTCTTTGTCCTTAAAGATTTTATAGTCCAGAGAATGAGATAAGCACGTATAATAAAAATACATATATTTATTTATTCCATCAATCTTTTTAGTACATGTGATGTGTCAGGTTGGTGTTAGCCTCCCAGGGTGTGGGCAGGTACCCTCAGAGCTCAGCGAACCTTCCAGAACCGAAAAGTCTTCACAGCAGAAATAACACTAGACAGAGTCTGAGCCCCCTCAAAGCTTTATTGAGAAACAGAAAACAGTTTCCCACATAAAGTAGCAAAAGACAAGTTAATTTGGAATGCAAATACGCCTTATCAATATGCACATCCATTACTTATTCAATATAGCAATATTGCTATGTCGAGGATATAGCAATTGGAATTTTAAATGCTTAAAATATGCAGGTTAATCTACAAATTAATAAAGCTCTTTGTAAAGCTTACCCAATTTTATTATCAAATAAGATTTTCTGGTGTAAATAATAATTTATTTACATGAACTAAATTTCTCTCATTTTTTCATTTGTTTTTATGTAGTTTACAATAGTTCATAAACTGACTATGAACCATCCATTTAATCAACTTAATAAATTTCATTCTTTCAACGACTTACAAAATAAGTCTCTATTCACTAAAAAAATGACTATATAAAATGCATTGCACTTTTCACTTGTAGGGGGGAAGAATACATTTTAACAAGTGTTCTGTAGGGGCACCAAACCCATTCCTTCCTTGCTATAATGCATATTACATATGTATGGATGTGTTACATATGGATTGCTTACGAAGGAAGTATAATACATAATACTTGTTACAATAGTATGATTCAAGGTTGCAATTATTTTGTTAGGATTGGTATATATCCAAGCATATTTTGATTAATGCTGCTGTGGAGCAATTGTTCCTTTCATTTACTGTGATTCAGAGGGCATGAGCATGTAATTGACCACCTTTTTTTGGACAATTAGTAAACCGAGATCAATATTAAACTAGAAGAGAACAAAAGGAACTTTTAATTAAAAACACACCAAATATCATGTACATATATATTCATATATATTCATTATTCACTATGTAATGAATTACCTCTTTTAGTTGAAATTCCAAAATGAAGATGGAAAACTTATTTCAGCATATTAAAATTAAATTTATCCTCACCATTTTTATAAATAAATCAGTACCTTGAAATCATAATATCTTTAAAAAATCTCTCATTAACTTTTGTTTCACTAGTGTTTTGAAGACTATAATTAGATTCTGGTACATCGAGACCTTGTCTACCAATTAACGATATATTTTTTCACATCTGAATAAACAAAACTGAGTTGGGTTTAATCATCCAGTCCTTGGACTTGAATAGTATTTCCTGTTCTGAAGTGTTTCTTATCAAGCATAGATGGGGATATCTAATCCTCATGTGTTTATTAAATCATTTGTTTTCTCTATACATTTGGGCATATGCTTTATGGTTTATTTCACATGACTGGCGAGGTATTTGTCAGCGATTAGAGTATGAAGCCTTTGATGACTGAAAAAATATTCTAATGCTATCGACTTTTGGGTCTCTTACTCTGCTTTTTGCATTATTCTCACCACAAAAAGTGGAAGTGGCATGCAAGGAAACTCTAGAAGGTCATTGGCATATTTATTACCAAGACCATGGTGCTGCTTTCATGGGTGCAGGCCTATGTCCAAACTCATCCAATTGTGTACATTAAGCATGTGCAGTATTTTTTTTTATCAATTACTCCTCAAGGAATAGCTTTCCCAAGGAAGCTATTAAAAATGTTCATATAATCAGGCTACTATGATTTCTGCCAAGGATATTTGAATGTATAGCCAAATAAATAAAATTTGATGAGCATACAATATAAAGGTAATATCACTAAACATATTATTTCTCACTAAAGAGGAGCTTAATGAAGAGATCCGGCTCCAGACTCTATCCGTTCAAGTTCTAATTCTGTCACTTCCTAAACAGATGGCCTGGGACAAATGTCATGACCTGCCTTTGACTCGTACCCTCATTTGGAAGAGGAGACAGGCACACGACACATCTGTCTCAGTGTTTGTGACCAGTATGGGGAAACACTTGCCAATTGGCTGCCCAGTCTGTCTGTCAGGCAAAGTGAGATAGCATTGGTTCTCCCCAGTGCTGTCTATGTAAGTCCGTCATATGTCCCCTTGGAATATTGTATTAATTAATTTTTCCATTTCTCTCCTTTGAAAGAGAAATAGTGTGCTTTAAAATGATTGCAGTACAGAGGGGAGAGGAGAGGGAATTTCAGGGGAATTTCAGGGGAAAAGGGGAAGGGTTTACAGGAACGAGTATAAGGACACATGGATAAAAACTAGGGGCGGGTGGAAATGGGAGGGAGGAGGGGACTGTTGCGTGGGTGGGTTGGGATGGGAGTAAAAGATAGAAAATTGTACTGCAACAACAATTTAAATAAAAATTTAAAAATTAAAAAAAATGATCGCAGTAGATAAAATTTGCAAAAAAAAGTTCTGAATGTCTTTTACAAAGGCACCGTCTCGATTTTACATCATACTGATATTATTCAGTGAAATATTCAGTACAACCTATGAAACGAGAAGCTAGGTCTTAGGGTCCGAATGTAACCAGCCCCAGTCATACAATTACAAGTTTGGGGATTAAGGAAACTTGAATCCGGAACCACTGCCTCACTGTATCCAAAAATCTAAAGCCTCAAAATATTTTCACTCTAATGAGATTATCTTTTAGATTATTTCAGACGTATATTTGGCTGAGTTCCATTCTGGCTATTTTTATGCTCATATATCTCCCAATAAATCACAGTGCAAATCATAGTGCCCTTTTTTTCAATGACAGTTTGCATCCACTATTGTTCTGTATTAGTTTCAGGTATACAGCCTAGTGGTCAGACAGTCATGTACTTTACAGAGGTCCCTGCAATATTCCAGGTACCCATCTGTCCCCAAATACAGTTATTAGACTACTGTGGACTGTATTTCCTGTGCTGTGATTTATGTCTCTGTGACTGTTCTGCAGCGACCAGTCTGTATTTCTCGACCCCTTCACCTTTTCCACCCTGCTTCAACTCCTCTCCCCTCTGGCAACCATCAGCCTGTTCTCTGTACCTATGAGTCTGTTTCTGTTTCGTTTGTTTGTTTATTTTCTTCTTGAGACTCCACACGTGAGTGGAATCACATGGTACTTGTCTTTCCCTGGCCCACTCACTATGCTGAGGACGTCCTCTCTAGGTCCATGCAGCTGTTGCAAAGGGGCGGATTTCCTTCCTCTCTGTGGCTGAGCTGACGTCGTGCTCTGAGTGGATCTAGTCTCCTCATCGCACCTTAAAGGGACGCTGGGTCTGAGGCACGTCCGCCCCTCCAGCCTCCTCTGTGGTTCTGCTTGTTCCGTGCCCCATGCCTCGGCCACCTGTCGTGCCTGATCGTGGTCCCAACCACGCCCCTCCAGTACCCCTGGCGTGACACTGGTTGCCTTACAGGAGCCATGCCCCTCTCTGCACTTCACGCCCCCACTTCGCTCTCCCCTCTGCCTCCAGGCAGCAGCTGGTGGGGCTGACACGTGAGTCCCCTCCATCTCTCAGGGGCCGACATCTCAGCGGAAAACCCGCCTTCGGCTTCCTCTGCGATGGTGAAGAAAACACACGTGGCTTCTGCCACCCTGGCACCTCGCCGACAACCAAAAGCAATACGTCCATCTAACAATCATGCACTCCTACTGTCTTCGAAAGCTGTAGTCTGTTGTGATTCGACACACGCCTGCACACTTACAGACGTCTCTCCGAGGCCATGTCTTGGGCATTATCCGAAGAGTGCAGTGGACCAGAAATACAAACATTTTGGGCAAAAATTGCAGTATCAGGGAAGAATAAAATAAGGTCTAAAGGGATTTTTGTTTTATCATGTATACTTACTGCTTTTCATTCACCTACAGGAAATGAACGCTACATGAAGTGCTGTTTAGAATTTTTTTTCCAAAGAAGCACAGGTATCTATGTTTCTCTGGAAAAAAGAAGCATTATGCACAGACACAATGGTGTTATTGATCAAAGCCACGAGCAAGAAGAAAGTAGATTAATACTGATTCCGATCACAATACTAGAGAAAAGTGGGTATTATAGATGTGATACCATGTACCCTAATAAAAGGA